CCACCACCCCGCGGGTACCACTTCCCCGTGGGCACCACCACCCCGTGGGTACCACTTCCCCGTGGGTACCACCCCCCCGCGGGTACCACCCCCCCGTGGGTACCTCGAGCAGCTTGGGGAGGGCGGGGTTGGCCCTGAGCTGGGCGACGGCGGCAGCGACGGCGGAGATCTTGTGGCGGGCGTCGGCGACGCGCTCCTTGAAGCGCTTCTGGTAGAGGAGGCACGTGAGGCGGGGGGCGTAGTGGGGGATCCTGCGGGATATTAAGGTAATAGAATATTAGAATCTTATGAAAATTAAGATCACTTGATCTTAGTTCCACTCTTAAGTTTATCAAAAATTTAACGGCAAAGAAGACGGCCAAAAAAATTTACCATTTCTTAAGCGAGAAATCTTTTCGGTGTCCAGCTCCATAGTCAGTTCAAAGACCTAAAACATCGTCAGTTCAAAAACGAAAACCTAAAATATTGTCAAATGAAGACAAAGAGCGAGGTACACATGAGCAGACTAAACTATCTATTTACAATTTCAAGGGGGATATGAACTGTAGGCGGCATTTAGACTAGGCTTTTGTTTAAAAATATACACACTCTAAAATTCGTAGGTTGAAAAAACCAGTTGTGAAGGCTAAAACTCTTAAATAACTACCGGACACCGGTTGCATGAACGCTTACTGCTGAATGAGGGGGATGCACAAGCAGATTTCCTGTTCTAAAATTCCTTCCTTTATGCTCCGCCAGCCTAATATAAAAATTGCGTGATGATTATCAATTATTTGTTTATAAATGTCAATCACCGACTGATTGGTTTGAAGTGAAATTTTTTAACAATTTTTCTCGAATTATCTGTATTAAATTAAAGTTTTGAGTTTGCTGGCAAGTTTTATTAGACAAATTGATGGTTTGGGCATTTGTCTTCCTCTCGGCCCAACTTTTGCAAACATTTTCATGTGTTTTCACGAGGCTACATGGCTGGTCAATTGTCATCTTGATTTTAAGCTACTGTTCTATAACCGATATGTCGATGACACTTTAATTTTCAAGCATCCCTCACATGTTTTCTCTTTTTTTTTTTATTGCAATGTCACTAAATCAAATGGCCGTTTTCAGACCTCTGTTTGCCGAAAATCGACGTTTACAGGCTTAAGCAACAGGTTTTTTTCGCATTTGTTCTTTTCGTTTCATATTAAATGGGATTCAAATGTTAATAAACCGCGGCTTTCGTATTTGTTCTACTTTCCATGAAATCCACTACGAATTATAATAATTACGCAATACCTTTTCACTGAATGGGTTTCAATTGGTAGGTATATACTAAAATTTAAAAAATTGCGTCAAAACAATATTCTGAGGCTGTTCCCGAACGTGACGATAGAAATGCTGTTTATTGTTCATTTCCCTACTTTGATCCCGCTTCCGAGACATGTACCTATGGCTAAGGAGTTGATAGTTTTGTTTTCTAAATACCTCCCAAATGAAAATCTTCATGTACTGCTAGTGAATAATTTTAGAATAAGTTCTTCTCTCGAGTATAAAGACACACTCCCTGTTCCTACGCGATCGTCCCTAATTTATCAATATAGTTGTGCGCAGTGCGCATCTGCGTATGTTGGTATGACGTCACGCAACTTGTATACTAGGCTGGCGGAGCATAAAGGAAGGAGTTTTTGACAAAAAACATACATGCGTATCCCCTCATTCAGCCGTGCGCGTTCATGCCGAGCAGTGCAACGTCCCGGTGTCCAATAGTGATTTTAGAGTTTTAGCCTCTACAGCCGGTGTTTCTGATCAACGAATTTTAGAGTCCCTGTATATTCCTGAACAAAAACCTAGTTTAAATGTCGCCTACAGTTCATATCCCCTCAAAATTGTAAATGGATAGTCACTCTTAAGTTTATCAAAAATTTAACGGCAAAGAAGACGGCCAAAAAAATGTACCATTTCTTAAGCGAGAAATCTTTCGGTGTCCAGCTCCATCCATAGTCATGTCAAAGACCTAAAACATCGTCAGTTCAAAACGAAAACCTAAAATATTGTCAAATGAAGACAAATAATGAGGTAAACATGAGCAGAGTAAACTATCTAATTACAATTTCATAGGGATATGAACTGAAGGCGGCATTTAGACTAGAGTTTTGTTCAAAAATATACAGGGACTCTAAAATTCGTAGGTTAAAAAAACCGGTCGTGGAGGCTAAGACTCTTAAATCACTACCGGACACCATGACGTTGCACTGCTCGGCATGAACGCGCACTGCTGAATGAGGGAGATGCGCAAGCAGGTTTCCTGTTCTAAAATTCCTTCCTTTATGCTCTGCCATACTAATATTAAAATTGCGTGATGATTATCAATTATTTGTTTATAAGTGTCAATCACCGACTGATTGTTTTGAACTGCAACTTTTTTAACAATTTTTCTAGAATTATCTATATTAAATTGAATTTTTGGATTTGCTGGCAAGTTTTATAGTCAAATTGATGGTTTGGGCATGGGTTTTCCTCTCGGCCCAACTTTTGCAAACATTTTCATGTGTTTTCACGAGGCTACATGGCTGGTCAATTGTCATCTTGATTTTAAGCTACTGTTCTATAACCGATATGTCGATGACAGTTTTTAATTTTCAAGCATCCCTCACATGTAGACCTCTTCTTTGATTATCTTAATCTCCAGCACAAGTCCATCAAATTTACCCCCTATTCCTATGAATAAATTTACCCCAAATTTACCCCTATTCCTAAATTTACCTCCCTATTCCTATGCGATCGCCCCTAATTTATCAAAGTAGTTGTGCGCAGTGCGTATCTGCGTATGTCGGTATGACATCACGCAACTTGCATACTAGGATGGCGGAGCATAAAGGAAGGAGTTTTTGAACAAGAAACATACATGCGTATCCCCCTCATTCAGCAGTACGCGTTCATGCCGAGCAGTGTAACGTGCCGGTGTCCTATAGTGATTTAAGAGTTTTAGCCTCCACAACCGGTGTTTCTGATCAACGAATTTTAGAGCCCCTGTATATTCCTGAACAAAAACCTAGTTTAAATGCCGCCTACAGTTCATATCCCCTCAAAATTGTAAATGGATAGGTGTGGCTGCTAATATTTGCTTCATTCTCATTTGTTTTAATTTGCAATTTATGTTTTAAGATCTTCAATGTGAATTTAGTTTGAAAGAAATAGTGAATTTTCCCCCTTTGCCCCTTCTCACCTCCACCCCTTTACTCCCCACTTCCCTTCACCCCTCCCACCCCCCTTCACCTGGACACCCTAAGCATGAAGGCGTCCCCCCTTCACCTGGACACCCTGAGCATGAAGGCGTCCCCCCCTTCACCTGGACACCCTGAGCATGAAGGCGTCCCCCTTCACCCCCTTCACCTGGACACCCTGAGCATGAAGGCGTCGGCCCTGGCGTAGGACGCGAGGTCCCCGGCGTGCTCCTCCAGCACGAGGACCTCCTCCGCCGTGGGCACGAACTTCAGCAGCTGCTCCAGCATGTCGGGCTGTAGGACCCCTTCAGCGTCCATGCTCTCCAGCACCCTGGGGCGTGGGTGACAAAGTGGATCATGGGTGAGGAAGTGTTTCAGGTCAGATATTAATTATTATTAATATTATATATTATTAAACATTAAATATATAAGGAAGTGAGTCATGGGTGAGGAAGTGGGTCATCAGGAGCTGCTGGTGGTCATACAGGCGCAGTCTTAGGCTACGGCCAGACTATAAGCGTCGCCGCGCTGCGCGTGTAGTGGCCACACCAGACGCAGGACGGCGCAGCTTACGGCGCGTCAGCGTGTAGAAATGAGTGTCAGCGAGAGACTAACAGCCTCCTTGATGGAAGTTTTATGGGGAAATAATAGATAAATTTAGAAACCCAAATATGCTTTGATTCATCTTTTTTGGAGTCCATTTGGATGAGATTAGATGGATAGTTTGATATGATATATTTGATGTATACGTCACGAGTCCAACCTTAATACAGATAGACTTCATGCGCATGTGCAATTTTTTAGTATAATAAGTAATCCAAATTAACTTGTTTTTTTTTCATTCTTTATATTGCCTTCATTTATAGAGTATATGTATATCCTGTCGCAGTGCTGTGGGTGAGAACACATAGCAATAAATTAAATTGACGAGAGCCATGCTTCGACAACCTCCCCTCACGGCTGCTTCGAGGACACTGAACGCTTGACGCAGCTACGACCTGTACGCGCCCAAGGTGCTTGTACACGGGGACAGTACTGGCGGCAAGTAGATCAGAAGAATGCCAAATGTCTGATGCTTGGTGTCTGTTTCGCAAGTAAGCTTAGACAAGAGGCAAGTTTAAGGTGTCACCGTGCCGGTATCTGGCTGGTACTAACTAATAACTAGCTGGTACTAACCAATCTTAAGGTGCCGGACACCTTAAACTTGCCTCGTGTCTAAGCTTACTTGCGGGAGAGACACCAAGCGGCAGACATTTGGCATTTGTCAGATCTACTAGCCGCCAGTACTGTCCCCGTGTACAAGCACCTTTTGCCTTTGCGTGGTGAAAATTTAATATAATAATTAAGGTTCCTGATATCTATGAAATAACCTGTTTGACTTCTTCATATATCTATTGGTGCTCTAATTGTTAAACGCATCGGTCCAAACATTATAAATTTACTTACAAAAAAGAGGACTGATGCCAGCGAAAAAAAATTCGCATATGCCAGCTAGCAGCACGTGGGATTAGCACAGGCGCTGTGACGACATTTCACAGTTTTCTGACACCGAGTTCACAGTTTTCGATGTGTTAGATCAACAGTCGAAGTAGCGTGCTTATTAAAGGAATGGGCGCTCTATGATAAAAAAACTAGTGGGCAATTGACACTACCTCAATTATAAAAGAAAATGGCGGGAGGTGAGAGGGTATGAGAAGCACCTACAGAGAAATGAAGACAAGCAAACAGAAGGAAAATGAAAAGACAGGTACTCTCCTCCTTGTCCTGGATTACACAATACTTGTCGGAATCCTGCTAGGTGCATCGTAAGAAATGAGTGACAGTGTGTGACTAAATCTATTGCCGAGCACTCTAATTTAGCACTAGCTACATAATCCCACTAGCAATACTTAACTCCCAATAGCAATACTTCATTTGGACAAATCAAATTTCTGCATCACGTCATAAAAAATACCGTTTATTTAGAAAAAACTTCCCCCATCTTTATCGTTTATGTATAATTCGTTGTTTAGAGTTACGCGCTGACGCACTATTTCCAGGTGCATGGCACCACGGTGGCAGCTCTGCTGCACTCAGCCCAGCACGTCTCGCTGGTGTCGGCAAGGCTGGTGGCGCGGCTGCAGATCAAGAAAGACGTGCAGTCAGACATGCCCGTACCTCCTTCCCCTCTAGCCCCAAACGGTGAGACCATTTGGGGGTAAGGGAAAACGGTCATATCAGCTCACAAAAGGCCAAAACGGCCCAAATGCTAAATTGATCAGTAAGCTGAAAACTTCCGGTATTAAATACATACAATATCACAGCCTCAGCGACCGTACGCGTCAACGCTTCTAGTCTGGCCGTAGCCTTAGACAGTAGGATGGCGCAGTTATGCTGTCGCCTAGCAACAAAGTGGGTCATGGGTGAGGAAGTGGGTCATAGGTGAGGAAGTGAGTCATGGGTGAGTAAGTGGGTCATGGGCGAGGAAGTGGGTCATGGGTGAGGAAGCGTTTCAGGTCAGATATTAATTATTCGTAATATTATATATTATTATATAATAAAAATATAAGGAAGTGGGTCATTGGTGATAAAGTGGGTCATGGGTGATAAAGTGGGTGACGGTGACCCACCTGAGGTACTGGTGGTCAGACAGGCGAAGTTTAGACAGCAGGATGGCGCAGTTCTGCTGTCGCCTGCTCTCCAGGAAGCTCAGGTTCGCCTGTCCCCTGCTGCAGGAGACGCTGCGCTCCAGGGGGCGCTCGCCCTAGGGGGAGGGGGTGAGTTAGAGGGAGGGGGGAGGGGCTGAGTGTAGAGGGGAGGCCAGTGAGGGAGGGCCATATTATCTTAGGAAGTTTATTCGTAGCGCCAACGGTCGAAATAAAATGTCCATTGGAAAGCTTATTACGGTATATTCCAATGTTCAAATCAAATATTATAATATGAGTTTAGAAATTACTTTTTAAAGACAACACTTGCAAAGAATCCAGTGTATCTGCTACTACATATGTAGAATGAATTTCTACTGTTATTTTCAAATATTAAAAAATACTTTTTAACTTTCTTAATATTTATAAAAAATTGTTGAAATCTTGAGAAGTGTTGTAATAAATATATTATATTATTATATTTGAATGTTCAAATCATTCTTAATGCATAATTCATTGAAGTGAGTGAAATTATGATAAAATTGATATGTTGTTTTCATTGGAAATCTTAATACTTAGAAACTTCTGCTCGACTATAGCTATACGCATACAAATTATTGGCAGGTAGTACCACTTAGAAGGTACCACTCAGCTGGTACCCCGACAAGTGGTACCATTTATGTGGTACCATAGCCGGTGGTATGCCACCATGTGGTACCACTCAGGTGGTACCCCGGCAGGTGGTACCCCGACAGGTGGTACCCCAGCAGGTGGTACCCCAGCAGGTGGTACCCCAGCAGGTGGTACCCCAGCAGGTGGTACCCCATCAGGTGGTACCCCGACAGGTGGTACCCCAGCAGGTGGTACCCCAGCAGGTGGTACCCCAGCAGGTGGTACCCCAGCAGGTGGTACCCCAGCAGATGGTACCCCAGCAGATGGTACCCCAGCAGATGGTACCCCAGCAGATGGTACCCCAGCAGGTGGTACCCCAGCAGGTGGTACCCCAGCAGGTGGTACCCCAGCAGATGGTACCCCAGCAG